TTCAACCGGCGCTGTTGCAGCGCTATTTTCCGTAGAATATTTCTTAGTTTTCCGGTGGCACAGCATGGGTTGCATGGACTCGCAGGAGTTGCAAAAAGGGCGGCATTGGTGTTGGCAATGGTGGTACAGTTCCTGCCCCCAGGCGGTGGGGCAACTAAATTGAGCTGGATGCACTGAGGCAGCTTGTCACTAGGGGCAGGCCAAGAACGGTAGCATGGGGCAGGGGCAAGACTATGGAGTGCCAAGTGGCAACTACATACAACTTGGCTTCATCTTCTGTTTTTATTTTATTTTTTTAGCCACCTCACTTACTCACTTTTGGGCCATGTTCAAGTTTCGCCAGTTCACTTTGCTTCTGCATAAATAAAGAGGCGCAAATTAAATTTGAAATTTTGTTGCGGCAAATTGGGGGTGCAGGCTGGCTGATTCTGTATGTGTGTATTTCCTTTTCCGGGTGTTGTCGCACCTTCATCCCACCCCCCAACGAATGCCAATGGATTTGTCGTGTCTGCACTTGTTGTTGGTTGGTATTTTAATCGCCAATGTGGTTTCTCCATTTCCCAAAAAAAAAGAAGGATTCCCTCCAGGAAAAAAAAGACAAAAAGTTGTCACGATGCCACTTTTCCACATTTTGCGGCATGCCACTGGATATTCATTACCGAAACAGACCTACCGCCTTATAAACTCAAAAAGCTGATGAAAATTTCTCACATAATTCTCTGACATATTCAGCTCATGAACTCTTATGGAATTCTTTCCCGACTCTTAAGCCTCCACATCAATTTTGGGCGATGATGATCTGAAGAAATATGTATTTTTGCATTTATTATTTTTACACCATTTTTTGGGGAGAAGAAAAAGAGGAAAAAGGAAGTTTGAATTTAAAATCAAACACTGAAATAGATATTATATGTACTACTTTGTTCCTATGGTTTTTTGATTGCTGGTTTAGCTTGTTAACATTTTATCCACAAACTAGTTTGTCCTTTTATAAATTGATTCCTGGTTTCCACATTGCTCTCCTTGTGAGGCAACTGTGAGCTGTACTCATCAAGTAAATTCTTTGAGCGCTTCCATTTGGCTTTTATGACCCACATTTTCATAGGGCCATTTGTTTGCCATTTCATCTTTTTCTTGTTTCTCTTTTTTTTGGTGAATTATACTCTTAAAAAGAGTCTTGGTATTTTCTTGAAAAGATTGCTGCAAAGGAAAGGAAATTTTTTATAATTATGTATATGTCTCTTAATAGATTTATTATAAATATTCTTATAAGCTAGTTATAACTTTATTTTTCTGTGTAATTTTTTCCGATTATCCGTCTGTCGTTCTTTTGTGTCCGTCTGTCCGTTATTAGAGAGGATCTAACGATTCTGTTCAAAACAAAGTAAATTTAAAAAATATATGTCTTCATACCTATTTTAAATAATATATATCCATTTTCTATAAAGAATCTTGCACTTAACACATCCTTTTTATCCCCAAAGAAGGGTATACAACTTTCGCTTTGAAACCAAACTAATGTTTCGTATTTTTTGCGGTCTTGTTTGATTTTTTTTTTTTGTTGCCTATTTTATCGGGAACACGCATCATTGGTTAAGAGACCAAAGACCTCTCGGCTGGTCCAATCAACTGCATTTTACGATGCCATGTGAATGCCTGAGAATATTTCACTTATGACCGAGTAGTATCTCATAAATTTTCATTCATTTTTTTCTCAATTTCTTTCCGTATTTATTTTTATTTTTTTTTTCTCTGTAGATATCCAAAATGCAGACGAATGTGCAAATCGACTCGAAGAATCTGCGCAGCAACGATGACAATTTCCGTTCCCGTGGACATCACATTACCATCGAGGTGAGTGCCCACTTAACACATGTCTTGGTATTGGTCTTGGTCCTTGTTGGTCCCTATGTGGACTCAAATATACTCAAATATCCTTTACCGCAATTACCACACTGGAAAAACTCGTATTTCAAGCATATTAATTACAGTTCAAAGTTTTTGGCCTTCCATCTCATCAAAATTGAATTGCTCTGCCGTCCTGAGAGTTGCTCAGTTTTTGGGGAGGCTCTTGTGGGTTGATTTCTGTCCATATGTTGTTGTTGATGTTGTCCACGGCTAGACAAGGTTGGAAACTTAATTAATTATGGTAAATACAAGGAACGGTCTAGCCAGGACGATACAGGCTGGTAAAAGGACCATCCTGAGGCACTCGGCCACTCAGTGTACCATGTGTACAAGAATTTGATTTGTTTGCCCATACGACGGTCATTATTCAATTTACCACAATTTTGTGGACACACGTCTGGCTTGGTATTTGGGTATTCTGGCGTTTGTTTTGATTAAATTATGTTATTACTCTTCTCCGTAAAATGTATCATCAAATAAAGGCATTTATGTATTTGTCGAGATGTCAACGTTGAAGCCCTTAAGATTTGACATTTTACTTAAATTTTAGATTAAAAATCAACAAAGAAAGGTGTTCGAAACTAGAATAAGTAAAAAAATAAATATATTTACTCATTAATCTTGATATATTCAAATAAAAGGTTAAGGATGTGTAAGGATAAATAAAATATTCATAATATAGAATATTTATTTCGAATTTGGAATTTTGAGTCTTTAATTTAAATTTAAAAAAGTCATAATTTTCAAACTTTTAATTACTATTTTTACTTCTAAAGAAAATTGTAAAAATAATTAAAAAATATTTTTAAATAACTGAAATTCTGTTTAAAAAGTTACGTTTTCACTGATTGTGTAAATATTTTACAAAGTGGATATTATGTTATTAATTTTTCTCACTACATACATCATTACATTTTCCCGACTTCTAAATGTTTTCAAATATTTTTCTTTGGTCAACAAAGTCAAATTTTAAAAAATTTAGGCCAAATTCTAGAAAAACTCTTTGGAAAACAACACAACCTCAATTGAAGATACTACATATTATAATATTTTGTAGGACTATCCTTGCCAACAAAATGTTTACTGGGTTATCCCAAAGAAAGACTTGAAATTCCTGCAAAAGCTTTTCTGCAAAATGTTTCTAAAATAGTTAACCATTTAGTTTGTCTTTAAAAAATGGGAATCAACTTTAAATGATATATTTAAAATAAAAAACTGCTTTTAAATTAAGATAAAGAATTAACGAAATTACTCATATAACTTTTTTAAGCATACTTTTTAGGGCTTCTTTGTAGAACAAGAGAAAGAAAACAATCAACAAGTGTTTATTCAAAGAGAGAATTAAAAGCTTTTGCAGGATGTGCGCCTGCGCCATTTCGATTTTGAAAAGCTCTAGCCGGAAGCTTAAAGCTCGTGGCACAGCATCAGCTGCTTGTGCAGATTTTAAGGCGAATTATCCCATCTGATTTTTGTTTTGTTCACTCCCTCGTTGTCCCTCGAACCCATGCCCCGCCCCGCCCCGATTCCGGCTGGTGGGATTTTCTCAATGAACTTTGCCGCGCTGCTTTTCGGATACCGTTGTTCAGTCGCTAGCAACATTTTGGCGCGTGTTGACATGCGAAAAGTTTTGTCCGCGACGGGCGACCCAAACGCTTTTTAACCGTTATCTCCATTGTTCCGTTACCGTTACTCGCTTTCTCGCACTTGGAAAAAAAAACCAAAACATCTTAATAATAAATATTTAAAAAAAATCCGCAGCAAAATAAAAATAATTTCTATTCCTGCACTTCCATTAGCAAATCATCTGATTTTTTTTCGAGTGTGCCAAACAAAAAAGTAATTAAAAATCATAAAATTTTGATTTTCTACTTTTATGCCAGTGAGTGTGCTTGTGTGTGGGTGTCTCCTGTTTTATTTTTTGTTTTTATATTTTTTTTCTTCTTTTTTTTTTGACGAGTGTGAGCCGGCATTTTGAGTTTGGCGCGTAAATAAGTTCTTCTCGTTTATCAGTTGCCAGAAAAAAAGGAAATAAAGCAACAAAAAGTTTACTACCGATGTGTGTTTGTGTTTGTTAGCCATTGTTTACATTCTTCGAAGGTAACAACATAATAATAATAAACAAAATAATCCGTAAAAGAAATCCATATAATTTGCAGACTTTAATTATTATTACTATGGCATTATTAATTTCCATTTCCTAAATACCATTCCTAATTATCACTTGTCATAAACACACAGGGCGTATGTGTGATGTCCTTGTTAGGGTTTTTATTTCTCAAATTAATAAAGTATAGTATACTTCTCGGCGCTTGCTTTCTTGCTTGCTGATAACAGCTGTCGTGCCCGTTGAGCTGCCAGAGAGCATTGTAGCCAATTTTAACTGCCGGGGCCATAGCGCTCCGATTATTAATCAAATCTCCGACACACAAACACTCGAGGTCATTGCAATAGGGTTAGTTTCCCAACAATGGGTAACAATCTGAGTTTTCAAGGCTACTAGCCGAACTTTACAAAAGGGTACAAGTATGCAAAGTTCTGACAAAAGTTGTTGCACTGATATCAGAGGGGGAAAATGTATCGATGTTTTTCAGGGAAATAATAATAAAAACTTTAAAGGACAGTAATTGAAGGTTGCTTTAAGATTTTGAATTTTTTTGTTGAGGAAAATAAAGATTTAGCTTTAAAATTTTAAGGTAAATATATATTTTTTTAATATAAATTTTTATAGTATTTTTTGTCTGTATTTTTAATCAGATATTTAATGAGCATGGCTTTCGTCATTGGTGTTTAAAAGAGTCAAGAACTAATTAATCAATAGGAATGGGGAAAGTTTTAAAGAAAATGTAGGAAAATAGAGGATATAATTGGGATAATTTTTTTCCGTCGCTATAATTTTTATCAGATATTTTTGAGCATTAAATTCGTCACTTAAATTTAAGAAGGTCAAGAAATAGATAGTCGTAAAAATAACTATTGTTTTTATTTTGGAAAAAAAACCGTAGTAGTTAAAAAAAGAGGAAAAACTAAAGATAATATAATACTACTTAAAGCGATTTTAAAGAACTAAAAATTCTTCAATTGGGAAAACTAAATTAAATAATTATCCATTAACAGACTTCTAACAAAACACTATAACTATTCTTCTAAAAAATAATATCATTAAAGGAATGAATTTTAAAAAATATATACATACATACGTACATTTTGTGAAGTGAGCATAGTTTTTCATAAGCAATTTGTCCAGTTCTCAGTCTGTCCAGTACTCCTGTATTCTTGGCCATGTGTTATTCAGCCAAAGGCCCCGCGGCCAGGCCAGGACACGAAATGAAATGAAACGAACCGAGACTAGTCCTTCAACCCCGAAAACCGATGGATGACATTGGCCGTGACCCCTTTTGGTTTGGAGGTCGAGAATTGCAGCTTGTTGAATGCGGAATACCGAAAATGCAAGTTGCTGGAACTAATTCGGTAAAAGGATAATAAAAAGGGATACCAATCAAAGTGAAGGTTTCTATCCCGAGGGTCCGTCATTTGGAGTAAGAGTTAGTTTGGGTTCCGAGCTGAAAGATAATCTTCATTTGTCCTCATGCGTCTTGGATTGGGCGGCAAGAATCTTCTGCAAGCGTCTGTGATCCTGTTCGTATTTCATTTCGTCCTTGTAATGGCGATGAAGTCGATACGTTAGCCACCAACCAGCAATGCTGACTAGGATCTGTGTGTGGGTGGGCGTTGTTGGTTTTTGTTGGTATCGCTGCGGATACCAAACGAATAATGTTTTTCTTTCGATTGGATATAATTGAGTGGGTTACCTGCACGACTATAAGAATAACAAGAATGCATATTTCGATGACATCCTCGGTAGTAACAATATGTTCTATTATCTGTTCATTGTAATCAGTTTCCGGTAATCCATTAGCCGACAAGTGAAATGCCCATGCCACCGTAAAGCAATCAAAAATGGTTAATAGACAAATCCCTGACGAATACTTGGAAGACAAAAAGATATCAGAATTATTATTTGTCAAAGGATATTCTTGTACTTACAATGGCCAATGCTCTGACAGAGTCCCAGAACAGGGCCAGGAATCCTCCCGAAGCCCATGTCGTCAACAGGCAACCGAGAACTACGCGCGATATCAAAAAATCGCGAAACTTTGTATTTATATGGTACAACAGCACTGTGCCACTTGTCGAGGCCTTCACTTCGCCATCAATCTGAAAAAGAAAGCAAGAATGTCTTTAAGGATATTTTTACGATTTTTGGTTAGTTTTTGAATAATTTTACCGCAACCACCAATGTGAGTAGAACTACCACTAGCTTGAGTTTGTGTGTGGAAAAGCAACAGAACATGGTATTTTCTGGTGTATGATTTGGGTATCCTTGGTTATCCTTGGGTATCCTTGGCTATCCTTTTATAGCCTGTATCCTGATTGTGGGTGTGTAAGTGTGTGTGTGTGTGTTTGTGTGTGTATGTGTGTGTGTGTTTTGGGGCAATCTAAAGCCCCTTTAAGAGAGCTACCCCAGGATTCAATAGTTTGAATTGAATTTTTAACACTAAACTTTTGTTTTGGCAACTTTGGCAAGGCATATGGAGATTAATTATTTAAATATGAATAAAAAAAAATGTTATATAAAAAATAAATATAAAATAGCTATCATATTCGTAGATAAAATTAAATTTTAAGATTTGAATAAAAGGACTTCTTTTTAATCGTTAAAACATAAAAAAATTAATTTTATCTTAACAGTTTAAATTTTATCTTAATTTTATCCAAATTTGTATCTTAATATATTTTACAAAATTTAAAAAAGAGTACCAACCAAGTCGACTTGACTTTAATTGCCATTTAATAGAGCCATATTGGGCAGCACTTTTCCTTTAGTGTCCTGCCAAATCAAACGAAATTGTTTTAAATGGCCAAAAGCTCATTGAGAAGGTTGCCAAGGGTTCGATACCATTATACCACTCACTCCTCCCACTCCCATCCCATTCCATTCCCCCGCTTTTTGGCACGCCCCTGGGCTGCGGGGGTCACTCAACTTGTTCGTGGTTTGGCACTTAGTTTGATTATCATATTACGTTTGGGCCTTTTATGAGTCCAGTAGAAGCCAAGAAAATCATGAGAAAAAATAAAATGAAAAGGAAGCCAAGCCGTTTAGGCCAAAGACCATTTTGGCCTAGTTGCCCCTGGCCACGCCCACATTTTTGGCCCCCCCGCCACCACTATGTAGTAGTGTATCCTTATTGAATTTAGTGTTGATTTGTTTGCATTCGCAGGCCATCAAAGTTGTTTTGGGCCAAAAATGTAGAAGGTTTTGTGGCCCGAACCGCAAATCGCGTTAAGCTGTTGTGTGTGTGTATGTGTATTTGTTGCCAAAGGATGTGTGTATATCCTGGGAGCTCATACACAAAAATAAACATCTAAACAACTAAACACCTAAACACACTTTGTATCCTTTGCCAGGATACAGTTTTTAATGCTGTTGAAACTTGTCACTCTTCTTATAATCAACTCGATTAAAACGAAGCCTATCTTTTTGTCCCCCAAAGGAGAGGATATATGTATGTTGGTAAATTGTCGTTCTCCCGAATCCTTTCGCCTACCTAGTTGGTCCTGCCATTTTCGTCCTAGTGTTTTTGGCAGGCAATAAAACATTTGCAGCTCTCTTGCAGGCTTCTTTTAAAGAACAGTGGGGCCTTTGGTCAAAAGGAGGACTTTTTTTCTCTATTTTAAAATATAAATATATTTTAGTATATTATATAAAAAAATTAAGGAGCTATTTATATAATTTATAACAAAAGGCTTATACTAATTTTTAACCAAACTATGATTTATCTATTTTACCTTTAACTCTATAAGTAGCGGATATAAAGATTCTTATTATAATTGTCTAATTTTTTTATTTTAAAACTTAAATTTCTCTTCCAAACTATTTTTTAATTTATTTAAAATCTTTCCTGATTTGAAATAATTTGTAAAATCCTTTGAAACCCAATTCCCTTTTCAAAATCCTCAGCTAACCAAATTCCTTTTAAGCCAATGTCCACTGTGGCCGGTAGTGTTGTCCTGCTGAGTGGTTGCCCAGAGAATTCCTTTGCTCCTGGCTGTTCGCCCCCCTCTAAACGTGTATGAAAAGTTGTGTGCATCTATTTTGTCTCCACTTTGGGCATTGACAAGGGGGGCTGTTAGACGAGAAGGGGATACAAAAAAGTGCAGGACAAATAGTTAAGAAAAAAAAAGGGGGCAAGGGCAGGGTATTGGCCAAGGGGGACTATGTGACCAAAGGATACCCTGAATATTGTCCATTGTTGTCTGGGCTACCTTGGCTTGGCTTGGGTTGGCTTAGACGGTAGCTTCTCTGTTTTTTGTTGGCCAGCTGTGCGTCATGTGCCACGCCCCACTGCCGCCTCACACTCACTCTTGGCCAGCCAAGCCATTTGTCCTGCCCTCCTCCTTTTGGCCTTTGTCAATGTAAACAATTTAATTTGCTTAGTTGGCGTAATATTCGCCATCAATAAAGAACTTTGGGACTTGACTGTGAGTGTCTGTGTCTGTGCCAGTGCCAATGTGTGTATCAGTTAGTGTGTGTGTGTGTGTGTGTGAGACAAACAATGACTATCGATAACAGGCAAGACGGCGAAGAAGAAGGACAAGGAGACAAGAGGCTCGTCTCATGTCCTTGTGGCTTTCTCTGGGCCATCGTCTGCAATCGAGTCCTGGACGCACTTGAAATAAATCTTGGCCAGAAAAAAAATTAAACACCCACCAATATATACGCAAACATATACACAAATAGATATACTTTTATACACAGATAAAAAAAATTGGGATTTAATATAGAAATGGGATGCTGTTTTTGGGGGTAACACATGGCGTATACTTGATGTTTTTGGAGGAAATAATTTTTCAACCTAACATTATTCTATACCTTTAAATTTAAAAATAAATTGTCTTCAAAAATAAAACTATATATATTTGAAATTAAGAATAATAAAAATAACCAATTAATTTTGGACTTTGAGACACGATTAAATTAATAACCAATTAATTTAATCGTGTCTCAAAGTCCTTCCAATATTGGAGCCTTTTAGGCGAAAACTTGGAATATAAACTCCTATATCTTGTTGGATAACCAATATATTTTAATAAAACATTGATAAATATTAATTATTAATACCACAAAAAAAAACAAAAGTTTAAATATTTCAACCTTTAAAGCTCTCACTAATTTTTATCAGTGTGGATTTGAATGGACCTTTATACGAACCAACATTAAATCGTTATGGCCAACATCTTTTGTGGCAGAAAAGTCATTCAGTCCGTTAGTCAGTCACCCAGTCGGCCAATGTCTGTTCGAATTACCTCCCCAACCTCCACTGGTGAGTGGGTAGCCACCAGCTACCCACCAGCCTCCATCCTACCCACTGCCCTGTCCTGCCCTTCACTTGTTGACCGCAATTCCGTGTAATTGTTAATCTCTTGCATTGATTTTCCATGCACTGTCCATTTTCAATTTTCCCGCAATTTCCCACTTTCCAAACCGCTGTGACCCTGCCCCCCCCCTTGTCGTAATGATTCAAACGTAATGATTCGATAATCAAATTAGCTTTCAGCAATTGACCAATTGAAGTTTTCGCCTCCTACGCTTCCTTTCTTAATTGCACTCGGGCAACGGTGCGTATGATTAACATTGCATTCTCATTCGCAGGCAATCCGAATGAAATTGAAATCGAAATGAAAATGTGGAATTATCAAAGGGAAAATAAATGGGATTTTAATATATTTTGAAGGGTTAAGTAAATCTTATTTATAAATATTAAAAATAAATATTATGAGGTATAAGGGATGCCAAGTTTTTTTTTTTTATGTAAGAGATTCTTTAAAGGTCTTAATAAATTGGTATCTTATATTAAGCATATATTTGAAAAAAAGAATACGTTTTAAATATTTTAGTTCCATTAAGCAAACTATTAAACAAAAAAAAACCACCCACAAAACTAAAACATCATAAAGATTGTTAATTGAAAAATGGCTCAAAAGAGTTTGTTTGCTGACTTTTTTGATTGAATTCATATACGAATATGTTTTTCCTGTGAATTTCCATTGATGGCTAGCTTTCAGTGGCAGATATTCGAGAGTTATTTATTTTTTGGGTGGTTTATTAATTCGTTTCACATGAAAATGGCAACATCAATGGCGAACGAAGGCATAGTCTGGCCCAGACATCAAAGACATCACAGAAAACGTATAAAACATATCATAAATAACAGACAATTATGCGGGCAATGGCCAAAAGGCATTCCTTTCGCCGGATTCAAAATGGAAATGGAATAAACAGGATATGGAAAAAAAAAATGTGAAATGCCCAGGTGGGGCAAAAATCTATCTGCCAAAGGGCCTAGGATCAAAATCTTGAATGGACAAGTGGGTGTTGGTGGTGGAATCCAGAAACCAGAATCCTGAATTTGGAATCCTGAATTCAGACAGCCTGTCAGCCAAGCCAACTGATTTATGCATTTTGCTGCCCAGGACCTCAAGTAACTCTACTCTACTTTACTCTCTACTCTTGAGAATCCTTGCTTAATTATGTGTGTGAGTGTGTCAGTGTGTGTGGGTTGGGTGTGTACCAGGCCCAGGATTCGTTTAGATAAAGTCAAATATTAATTCCAGACTCTTTAAGCAATTCCATTTAATTTTCATTAGCAAGAGCCCACAAATTAGAAGAAACTTTTCCTCCAAAAACGTTCATGAATATTAAAATATTCAAATTCCAAATTGTCGGCAGCAGAGAGCTTCCTAAAAAAAATGGAAGCCTAAAAAATACACTCCCCGTAAACCTCACACCTCTTGGGTAAATAATAAAATTTAAAATTCATAGACTGTCACCGCGGTTTGTGTTTATTTTTTGGGTTTTTTGTTTTTATTTTTAGTAATTATTAAGGTTATTTGCTTGACAAGCATTTCAATTAGATTCTAAATTTCTATTTAATGATAAAATAATACTTAATATATCTAAAGTATTCCTTTATATAATACCCAAAGAAATTGAGCTCCAAGGCTCATTTTTCATTGTCAGCAAATTGGCCAGGGCTTAAACGGTCGGTTTTAGTGTCGATTTTAATTAGGGCTACGGTCTCAGGACACCCAGGACACTGGGTCCTAAACGGGAAACCAAAAATCTCCACCCACAAGAAAAAATAAAAGAAAAGAAAACCGAAACCAAAACAAAAAACCCCAAAAACGTAAACCCCGAAAAGAAAACCGAAACTGAAACCTTAACCCTCGGGGCCAGGAGACATCACATCACACAGTCCAGAAACAGGACGAAACACAGGACAGAACCGAACAGGACAGAACAGGAGGACAGGACATCATTACTGCCGAGGCTGACCTCCCAAAAAAAAATCTAAGCGGTCCTGGCCATAAATCACATAAACGCCGACTAAGCCAAAAAACACAATGGTCACACAAAAAAAAAAAAAAATAAGTCAGGCAAAAAAATAACAAAAAACGCTGTGGAGAAAAAATCCGTAAAGAAAATAACAAAAAAAAAATCA